AGTGCATAGATTAGGTGCATGGATTATAAAAATTTAAATTTCAACATAAATTTTGGTAATACGTGCAGAATTTGGTTCACCATGGTTTACTAAGATGTTAAAAGACAGTGACGATCACTAGTATAATAATTTTATGATAGACGACTACAGTTGGTAAAAATGGTAAAATAAATATTAGTACTTATACACGGTTGATTACTAATGCGCGCAGGCGGTAAAGTAACTGTTTTCAAAAGAGTACAATATTTTTTTCTTTTCTTGTACCTATTGAAATTGTTCAAACTCTTCACTTTTTGCAGTTTATGTTGCTCACCGTCATAACAAGACAATTTTTAAAGCTAGCAAAGTAAATAAGCAATTTTTAAAGGAATGAAGTAAAATAAGATAAATCGAAAAAATATTATTTTATGATTACCCAATCTGATATAATACGTACAACATGTTGAAATAAAAATGTAATAAAGTTATACGGGCAATTATTGACACTATACATTATGATCTAATTTTATCAACAGGTAACAGCGTATTTTTATTTTATGATTTTTATTGTCAGTCTCTGCACTTAGATGAATCATAAAAATGTATACATGAAACTATCGCAAAACTCTCTCGTATCCTTAAAGACTTTTTTCTGACATATTAAAACTGCCATCCAGGCTGTAAGCCCTTAGAGGTTATCCTTGGCAATTTCATAATCTTTACATAAATCACAGGGATAAACTTTAACGACGCGGAATAATGTCTATAAAATAAAATATAATAAAAAATTGTAATTTTAGAATTTACTAAATAATAAAGCAATCATAACTAAGTTTGTGTGCTTCAAGATCACTGATAAAGTTTTTTTTTAAAGTAAGACTCACTGTACTCTTTTATTTACTAGGCTTTCATCACCCCCTGTCACGATATCATTATCCTAGGGATTATGACTGTCACATTGAGAATAATTATATGCCGGAGCACACAATCATGTGTCTTTAGTAAACATATGACAAATCATGTGATATGTATGTTTACAAGTTTTGGATTTCGGTAAGTTTCTATAGTGTCAAAGCGATGTTTTCAACGTCATCAAGATCGCAAGTCTAAATCCTACATGCATGATTGTTGCTTGTTTTATCTACACAGGATTGTGTAGAACTTTAATAACTGTATACGCAAAATATTGATAAACAAGATTTGAGAGTTCAGGAATGTAAAATATTAATCAAATAAGAAGGTTAAGACGAAGATATTAGTCATGTTTTACGCTGACGAGAAATGTTAATCAAATTTGCCTCCATTTTTTAAAATGATTCTTGTAGGGCAATAAAATAATTTTGTCATGTATTTATTTGATTGTCTAAAAGAACCGTCAGTAAGTTGGCTATATAAATATAACAGGAGGTGGAATAATTTCACCTGAAATGTTAACAACAATCTATGCTATTCCTAGTGACATATTCTTGCACAGGGCCAGATTTAGAGGTCTGGAGGCCTCAGGGCAACAAAGGACTGGAGGCCCCTTGGTCCCAAATTATTAAAAAAATATTTGTATTGATTTCTGTTAATATTTAATGTAATCATGTGTGTACAAACTACTGCAGGTAAAAGTAAAACGCGAAAAAAAATGAAAGGAAAAGTGGTTTACTATTATTTACTAGTCAGAATTTGAATTTTTTTTCCGAAGTCTCTATTGTGGGGATTATCCCTGGTCTGTGGAGATGTGCCGGCGGAATGAAGCCAAATAAAAGCTACTGCCCTCTACCATGTTGACATTATTTGTAATTTATTCCAGATTTTGCCATAAAAATAAAATAAAAAATATTTTTTTTTAAAAATAGTGACTAAGCATCTTATATCGATCACAGGATTAAATTTTACATAAACAAAACCAGTACTAATACATAACAGATCTAAACAGGCTCTCTGTTATTAATATTGGGCTCAAAAATTATTTAAATAATTAGTTCGAATTTTTAAAATACTTTAATAATATTAATGTAATATACGTTTATATTAATATAAAAATGGTGACATTTATTAGTACAATGATATCTGTAACCAATGTCGGCGCACAGAGGACAGAGACACATACTAAAGAGGATCATTTCACTTTTGTATTAAACTCAGATCGTTTTTCTTGAACCCAATCAAAGAATGACATGTTCATTTTATATTTTATCATAACCATAAGCGCTACATTAAACTTTTAGCAACTGACATTACATTAGATAATAAACAATCTTTTTCAACTGTGATACAGTTACACAAAATTCGAAAAACTTACAATACAAAATCTCTCCCTCCCGCTCGATTCTATTTTATAAAAGATTTTTACAAAATTATTGGCAAATATAAACTGTAATAACATATAATAATATTAATTAATACCTTTCCTTTAATTTCCAATAAGATAATAGACAAAAGTTTCAATTGAAACATACAGAGCAGTAAAAGTTGACGAGTGTTAAAAGTAAATTAGTATATTGAACACAATAATTACATAACTTCATAGTATATATATGCAACATTCGTGTTTTCATTGATATTGCTAATAAAATCATTATGGTTGAAAGTAAAGTATAGAAGGAGTCTGTGTCTTACAACTGGGCAAAGGCTTCGTCTGTACAGAGGATATTATTAGGACACATCATCGAAATATTTTTTATTTCGAAAATACACGTTACAGTTTCCTCACAATGTTTTATTTCACCATTGAGCACGTGATAAATCAGCACTTTAAATCATTAACTTCATTGCTGCCGGCACCGAGATTTGAACTGAGGTTGCTCGAGTATTTTAAATTAAAAGCGAGCACCCGAACCATCACGGATTCTTATAGTTAAAGATTCATAAAATAACACAAATATTTCAAATCAGTTGGTTTTTTTACCTTCAAATCGTTTTCTATGTGAAACACCCTTATCTCAAATAGTGTAGAGTACATTTGAGTAATAAATTACCTTCGAATTATCTACAAGTAATAGAGATTGTCCTCATAAAAAATTCCAACAGATGGCCTTTATTACTTTAGTAATCTAGTTAAGGTTACAATAATAATTGAAATTTAAAAAGTTATGGCATGCAGCTCACCTGAATTCATAGAACAAGAATATTAATTACTATTAATTATTCCAAATTGAGTTAGAATATTCCAAATCCAGTTTATCTTTGATAGTCTAGCGAATCAAGAGCAATCGAGAGCTATCGTAGAGATCGGAGCGAAGTGAAGTAGGAATATTAGTACATTCGTGCTATACCTGGCGATAGAGGTTATTGGAAGGCCGCCATCTTTTAGGTTGATAACGTACCGGAAATCCCTCAGGTTTAGTGGAAATCACTTACTTTTTATGCGGACCACCTGCTTTTTCACCACTACTTTATTTAAAACGTCTAATAGAAGAGAATCAAAACGAAACGAGTAACGGCGTGTATTATTATATTAATATTCTATCTACAGATAAATTTGGTTACTGAAGATCGAATTTTGACGTAAGTATCATGGGGCTAATTTCAAATACCTATCGCTAGTAAACAAATCTGTCACAAGATAGAATATTGAAACCGGCCGTTAACCAGCAACGTCAATCCAAACAGTCCCATCAAAGAAGATGTAGCTCAGTGAAATAGTTAAAATAAACAATTGTTAATGTTAATCAATGTTATCGTATCGAAAAGACCAAAACCAACGTTGCTAATCGTTATCGACTTTAAGGAGACACCGATTACACATAAGATATCATCAAATCGCATAATTAATTTTCAACATTCGTATTAATGCTTTGATATAATACCGACATAGAGGCCGTTTATTACGGTCGTGATAAAAGGACCTCTATCCATAATCTACCAATAGTAGGGCGATTGGCATTCAAATCTCACTAAAGTGTATCTTTCTTATTACACATATTAATATATTTCTGATTATTTTATTATTCTTATATATTCAGAACAAATTTTCTTACATATAGATTTAGAAAAAAAAAGAAATAGATTCATGTAAAGCTAATTAATAACTAGAGTTTTAAATATTATGCCTTGTGTTAAGGCACAAGCCTTTAGTAATAATGGCTTAAACTCATTACTAAATTTAAAATATAGAAAAAGGCTGTATTATTTTGTTATTTATAATGATTTTTTGCAATGTGAGGCAATGTCTTAACGAGACACGTAAAGTATTCGTATTGTAACAAATTCAAGGCTGCAATCGCTATTTAGATAATGAATTGCTTTTAACGCTTGGATTACTTCAAATCGACAAATGACATCTTGCTTTGGAAAGACTAAAAAATTAAGATCATGTTTTTTAAGAGCAAAACTTTATATTGAGACTTAAGAACGCATTTCTGATATTCTATTACATAAAAATAGAGCTTATTCGTTTTCAAGGGTTTTAAAATGTATTAAAAATATAACCTAACGAATTATTCATTGAAATTTACTTCATTCTTTAAGTTAAGCATACTTAACTATTTGATAATCTTGAATGAAGTAGAATTTGTTTAAAATCTACTGTGAGCAGATTATAACAGTAAAGGTTGATAAGCCTTTCGAGAAAAAACAGCGTACAGTTTCAGGCTCCTTCCTGTTTGTTAATATATTGAAAATCCACACCTCTTTAGGTAGAGTCCAAATTAGAAAATCCATCATCTGACAAATTGTTAATACTTTTACTAATCTTTCTAATGTGGTGAAAATTGCCTTCAAATGGTAAATAGAATTAATAAGACGTCACTTTCTTACGGTCATTTTTATAACGATGGATAAAATAAAATGCTTTCCTCGACAGATTCAGGGAAAGAATTCCTTTCGCGCTGGGATACCACAGACTGGCGATTATACATTTTTATTATTTTTAACGTGTATTAATTATTATGAATAATTTATTGTGTGAAAGAAATGATAACGAGCGAAATATCAACACCTAGTCCATAATAAATTAGTTGCATCCATTGTATGCCGTAACAATCGATAGTTTATATTAAATCGTGTTATCAGAGGTTAGATTTTTTACGTACCATTACATGCGTTCCCATGCGACTGTTCATGTTGATGCATTTCTCAAAGCACCGCGATGCGTGTGAAGGATCGCGCCCTTTCATGTCACAAGCGAGACTAAATTGCACGAGCAACTGGACGCCTGAAACACTGGAGCTTCGCCCCCCTCCCCCAACCTTAGCCGTTCCCCCGAATATGCGCAGCAATCCGCATGCGCGAACTTCTCAACATAATTCGTACAATGAATGGCTGTGATGAAATACAAAATGGTATTACGTAGCTGAGTACTATACTGGTACGCCTATACATCATTTTGTAGTTTTCTCAAAATTATTATCCCCATTCATAATTTGGTTCTTTAATCCATAGACGTAGATTTCACACTAAAAATCTTCCTAACTGGCCACTTACATAAACAATATGATATAAGTAATACAACAATAGTTTTAAAATGGAACTCTTTGGCTGTACTGTAGAATGCAGTCTGTTTCATCTGACTGTTTAGTCTGACATTGTGTAGTGTTTTTTCATTGTGTATGTTTAGTTATTACAGTGGTAGGGCCACGCAGCAGCCCCGGCTGTTGCACGAATGGGTGTCTGGTGAGCGAGGTGAGATGTTCATGGGCGGCGGTATTTACTTAACATCAGGTGAACCCAGTGGTGTTGTGCTTTTTTTTTTTTCACCGGAGCGCGTATGTATAATTATATAGACAGGGCCGATCCTGGGTAGGCGGCCGCTCTGTGCGGTCTCATCTCCCAAATTTGACGACGGGGGGGGGGGGGGGGGGGGAGATTTCCACCAATTTTCGCCCGTCGCCAGGATCGGCCCTGTATATAGCATAAAAAGGAAAGGAATCGAAAATCATTACGAAACCCATTTTCTGTATTTGTATATATATATTATAAATAAAGTTTAATTCGCGTTGAACCGGTTCAAAAACCGGTTCACGTATTTGTTTCGGTTCGGTTCGAGTTCCGGTTCAGCAGAAAAAAAACGTTCCGGACTCTGGTTCACGGTTCGGAAAAGCAAGCCGGTTCGTTCCGGTTTTGTTCCGGTTCGGGTTCGGTTCAAACCCTTGTTTATAATACTACATATAAAAAAATTAGAAAAAAAAAACAGCAATTCTTTTTAATTTTTTTTTTCAATACGTCAGCCAATTCTCGTTATCAGAAATCATCTTTAGTTCCGGAACGCGTTCCTGTCCAAAAAGGAAGTACCGGAACGACGTTCCGAAGCGTTCCGGCTCGACAACACCACTGGGTGAACCATCTGCTCGCTGGGCAACTTCTCACATAAAAAAGCTCCATTTTAAAAATTGCAATTTAACTCGAAAATTTTCTCAGTGATTTTCTACGATTTTAAATTTATCAGTCTGTCTGTCTCAGATCATGTATTTCTGTTGCTGCAAAAAACAGAATAAACAAATAGAGTAATAAGTAAACAAATAAACAGTGGAGCTCCCATACAACATATATGATTTTTTTTGCTGTTTTTTAGACATAAATGCGTGGGGCGCACTAAAAGTTTCCTGAATGAATAAGAAAAAAAATACAATTTCTCAAAATATTCTCCCTTTGCGTAAATGCACTTTTTCACTATTTTAATTACATATCATCATCATCTGAGGCATTACAGCCGCGTGTGGGCCTTAGCCTGGTCAAGCAAATCTCTCCAATCCGATCTATTCATGGCTTTGTTTCTCAAGCCTATAACCCCCTTTTAATTACATACCAATTTTGAAAACATTTGTGCCCCTCCGTGGTGACCTCATCATAAACGTGTTTTTAATACTCTTCGACAGTCCCTTCTGGTGATGAAAATCGTTGACCGCGTAAATGGTTCTTAATTTTTGGGAACGGAAAAAAGTCACAAGGTGCCAGTTCGCACTCTATGCTCGGGATGGCTCATAAGTTCTACGTTTTTCACCTTCAAAAATTCGTTTATCTGTCTGCCCATTTGGGAACTAGCGTTGTCGTGATGCAAGATGATACGGCGTTTACGCTTATTTTTTATGCAGTTCCTCAATAACTTCCGGAAAAACAAATGGTCCTGAACCATTCTTTAAACGCACGATTGCAGCTTTGTTTTCGGATCGTAGCAATAAATCCATTTTTCGTCACCTGTTACCATGTCTCACACCAAATTTGACCCTCCTTCGTTGAATCTGGTAAGCATGGTAGTGCACCAAGTGACGCGGTCCGTTATTTAAGCCTCGGTCAAATTATGTGGGCTCCACCGCGAGCATAGCTTTCTCACACCCAAACGTTTGTGTAGGATTCATTATATTTGACTCATGCAGGGTCGAATTTAGGGGAGAGCAACCGGGGCTACAGCCCCGGGGCCTCCACAAAAGAGGGGCACCAACAATAGAGACTTCAGAAAAAAAAATCAAATTCAGACTAGTATACAACTTTTCCTTTCATATTTTTTGCGCGTTTTACCTTTACCTGCAGTACTTAATTTGTACAAACATCAGAAATCATCGTTCTATATTTGTTCGATCCAATCTGGCAATCAGTAAAATATCAAAATCTCAAATGGCCCTGATAAACACTTAAAATTTACTCCCCATCTTGAGGGAATATCTCAATGGATCAATGGCTGAGTAGGGTGGTACTCGCCCGCAGCCTCGGAGGTTGGGTATTCTCGCTTTGTTTTTGTTCTTCCAATAATATGTAATTACATTACATTACCTTGAAATTTATTTCCGCAAAGTGACGCCCGGTTCAATTAATTAGCAAACATAATTGATCAACAAATAAAAAATAATTGTTGCAACAAATGAAGTCTTCAACGATTTTTCGGCGAAAATAGCTCGGAAGGTTCTGTTCTTTAACGCAAAAATTTAATTTTAGATAATTTTTGTTAGAGATTACATTTATATGTTCGTAAAATAATAAATGATCTATAGATACATGGTTTTACAATAAATTATTTAGTGGAAAAAATCGACTGAAAAAAATAGTTCATTTTACAATTAAAAATTATTAATTGCTATCACGGAGTCATTAACGCACATGAGCTCAAATCAGAATGTTTCTAGTAATAGCAGTATTTCAAGAACATTGTAAAGAAATCAGCTGAGTAGAATAAATTAGAAGAAACTTCTCCAAATGTTCAAGTTGCTATTAGAATGTTCCTTTACTTGATGGTTACTAAATGTAGTGGAGAGCGGTTATTTTCACATCTAAAGAAAATGAAAAATTTATTACGAACAACTATTTTACAAGAAAGACTTTAACTTACCTAACTATTCACCTGAACCTTCAAAAATAGACTTTGAAGATATATTAGACGAGTTTGCACAACACAAATCCCAAAAGAAAGAATTGTCGTAATTTTAACAAATTCAAACCACAAAGATACTTAACGTATTTGTAATACAATTAATTTGTTCCGTTTAACTAATTAGAAATATAAGATCATTACAGAAGAATGTTTTTATACTTCACTTTTTTATTTTCCAAGGGGGTCAAATTCTTGTGTGACTCAGAGCCCTGGTTAAGTTAAGACGGCATTGATCATCATTATTATACCAATATTTACATTTACCAAATAATACCTAATGCATATGTAAGACATATATACAATTAAAATATCTTTGATTATATAATGCAAAAGTAAATTAATATAAGTAATCAATGTTATTGACAAATGGCGCTTTAATGAGCGTAAATGTGAAAACTTCACCTCGTTGAACTACTCCTTGGAGTTATTTGCAAACATATAGATAAAACTAGCTTTTCGCGCGCGGCTCCGCCCGCATGTACTACATTTTATATCGTGCTTAAAAAGTACCAACGGAACCCTTCGTGCGCGAGTGCGACTCGCACTTGTACGATTTTTTAACTTTATTATAAACTTAGAATCATCATCATTTTATAGACAAATATGTATAGTGAAGAATTTTTTTTTTATGTGAAACGTTGCCAAACGCTGACTTCACCTGATTTTAAGTGAATACCGCCGCCCATGGACATCTGCTACACCCGAGCACGGCCGTAGCTAGGGGGGGGGGGGGGGGCATTGTAGGGCAATGCCCTACCTTAAAATCACAATGCCCTACCTTAAAAATACCAAAATAAAAATGCGTAAATATGACCACGTTTTTCAATATCGTACACGTCTCAAGTGATTTCCCATCCTACTTCACCGGAATTTGTATATTCTTTCTATGATGTACCTACTGTGTTCTATTTCATGTTTCTACTCCACTTTATTTAAAGGAGAAATTTGAATTTGTAGGGCTTCTAGGGGAAGATCGTACCTTCTTCGAGGAAGCTCATTTTAAAGGTGCCAAACCACAAAACGTAATTTTTTGTAAAATCTTTTACCGTACAGGCTGTTAAACTCTACTACTGCATTATATACTATACTATTGCACAACCTACGTAGTAAAGTTCCTTTACGCCATTGGTTGCCTGGAAGAGATCGCTTTGAAGTGATAAGGCTGCCAAATTGTTACATTCCATTAATTTGTTTGTCTATTGTTAATTTTGTGTATCCTCTTTTGTGTGGTGGACAATAAAGTATTCATTCATGTATTCATTCAAAAACTAAGATACATTATTTTAATAAAAATTGTAGCGACAGGTATCTCTACTTTTCCGAACATACCACAGTTTGTCAAAGTCAAAATAATTTATTTATGGACTTAGGCAGTAAACGTAGTGATTACATTCTCTTTGAACTTAGGAAACATACATTTCATCTATCGATAGTATTTTAATCTACCACCGTTTCATCATGAGGTTCCTCTAACGGAGAAGAAACAGGCGAAAGAAACTCCGCAGGTATCCTCTTATTCGTAATTTTTTTCTTAAAAAATTAAAATATTATACAACCGTTTTTTTTCTTTCTTTTAGAAATAGCTTGGGTGCGATCAACTCATTACCAGTGTGTGTACATCATTTCATATTCTAATAATTCTTTGTTCTGTGTACTCGTATAAAAAAAGTACCTGGAGGACCGAGCTTTGCTCGTTTTTTTTGGTAAATAATGTATTTTGGAAATAAAAAAAAATAAAGAAAACAATGATCAGGTATAGAAAAAAAAGTAA